GAATCTCTCTTTCCACACTCCCAAATCAATTAGTCTGGGATCCCTGGCATGCAGATGGTGTCTCTCTTGAAGTCCTTTAATATTTTACTTTATCCATGAGGGGGGAAAAACTTGCCGACATTCTTTTTTTATAAACCCCATAAAACCCCTATAAACTATGCCATCACTTATTGTCTACTCAGCAGATGGGGGAAACAATGTCAACAGGATCTGGGAAGTGTGAGGTGGGTCTCGGGGCTTTTTGTGCTACATTGCACGGATCAGATAATACCACGAACACATGAATTTTTTTAGCCACTTCCTGGTTTCCTCGCATCTTTGATGTTTAAGGGCTTCATGTTTCTCCTTCTTTTTCTTTTTCTTAAACCAATATGATTTCTGGTTTTCTAAATAAAAATGCATAAAAGGACACCCGAGGAGCAGTTAAATCACCATGCGAGGCTGGTTAGCTGTGTTTTGTTCTCTGATGTAGCAACTATTATTAAGCAAATGAGACACTGGTGCATTTTTCCATTTGAAAAGCTGCCAGTCACCTTGGTGGCAGTAACACAGAGTTAGGCCTTAATTGATAATGGGTAAGGTCAAATGGGCAAACACACAAAGCAGATGTTTTATTTATTCCTTTAATTTTAAGGGGGGGGGGTGACACAAATGTATTTCCTGCCTTTAGGGTTTTTGTCATGATCATACTGAACCTCCTGGAAATATGATAATAGAAATTTGGTAAGACTCTTGGAACAGGAAGCAAGCATTTAGCTTATTTATTTGTTGTTGTTTATTTAAATAAAGGAATTCTCACCCCAAAATCTATAGCAAATCAATGAAAGTGAAAATAAACAGATACGTCAGTCGTAGGCAGCCTACCTGAACCAGCTTCAACAAACAGCAATGGCAAATGGCAAGTTAAATAATGTGATCCTTGCTTAGGGGTCTGTGATTCTTACTTAGGGGTCATCTTCTTTGCACATGAATATTCATCATATGCTCACTGTAAGCATGAAGCCATGACCCTCACATCTAAATCAGCTGTAAACAGTCTCCAACAGAACAATACTTAAAATATATATTCTTTACAGTTTTGAGTGTGCTAAATATACAGTATAACCTTGCCATTCTTGGGGAATCTGTTCTTGGCAATTGTGAAATCCCGGAAAAATGTGAGCCAGGGTGTTTGCTGCCTCCCACTAGTAAAATAACCATACTTTCACCCAAATGTAATCTGATCTCATCAGATCTCGGAAGCTAAGTAGGGTCGGACCTGGTTAGTATTTGGATGGGAGACCACCAAGTCCAGGGTCACTGTGCAGAGGCAGGCAATGGCAAACCACCTCTGAGCATCTCTTGCCTTGAAAGCCCTATGGGGTTGCCATAAGTTGGCTCCAACTTGATGGTGGGGAAAAAAAGATCAGCATCTCTGACAACGAAGGGTATGTGTGTGTGCATGTACACACATTGTCCAGGCTTAGGCACAGTGTGGACAAGCCAGAAATCGTGTGGAGACAGGGGGCAGGACCAGCATGTTCATACCTGCTCTCCTTTTCTATGAATTATAGAGGAGTTCTGTGCTCTGGGGAGAAAATAACATTATTTGGTCAATATTGCTGTTGTTATTTTGCCATCAAGTCACAGCTGACTGCTGACTTATGGCCACCCTGTAGGGTTTTCAAGGCAAGAGACGTTCAGAGGTGGTTTGCCATTGCCTGCCTCTGTGTCACAGCCCTGGTATGCCTTGGAGCTCTCCCATCCAGATACGAGCTTAGGCTGACCCTGCTTAGCTTCTGAGATCTGGCAAGACTGGGCTAGCAGGGCTATTCAGGTTAGGGCTCCATCTGCTAAATAACATCCCATTAAGCTTCTGTTAAAGAGATAAGACTTGGGGAGGGGGTGCTAAATACTACTTGCATCTGTTGTCACGTGCTAGACTGAATCAAACCCAGGCTGCACAGATCATCTGCAGTCTTCCTTGGTGCTGCCCAGCAGGAGATGTGCACTCTATTTCCCCTCCCACTGGGCTCTGATGAGCTGCAGAGACCCTTTGCAACCTCTCTCTAAGATCCTCTTGAAGCGGAGTACAAATGGGGGTCACGATTCTTCCTTTGCCCCGCTTGCTGTGTTTAGAGGGCCAGTTGAGCTGTACTGGTGCACACTCTTCCGTTTTGCCCTGGAGCTTCCACATACTGGGTAAAGGGGGGGGGGAACCTAGCACAAATGAGTTTGTTTGTACTGTTCTCAGAACACAATACCTGAATTTTTGGTTTCAAGAACTGGTAACCCTAGCTGGACAGAACACTGCAAAGGCATGTCCCACCACAGAGAATTTATGAGCTATGAGTATCTTTGCAGGTTACATCACACAATGAAAAGTTGATTTGTGAGTGTATTTGTCTCAGGAGGCCGTGTCTGAGATGGAACTCATAAACCCCGGCCTTTCACTGTGTGTTACATACTCTTCAATTGCCTCTGTTTACCCAGGACAAGTCTATTTTCTGGTTCTTGACTCTGGAAAATTATAGGCCCTAATTTGTCTTTATATGTTCCTTTCCTTGGGGGTGTTTTTTTTGGGGGGGGGAACATGAAAAAATAGCCAGTACACTAAATATGATACAGAAGTGTATGGGCTTGTATATTTAAATATATACAGAAATACAGGGAAACTTACATAGATTCTAGCTGGACTGAATAAAATCAAACTAAATACATAAAAAATTACAACTGTGTTGCAAGATTCCACAGAGAAACAGAACTTTAGCAACAATACAATTGAAAAGTTCAGGTTCTGCATATATTTTTCATCGAGGCCCTTATCTTCCCTCCACTATTTTTTTCTCTGCTTTAACAGGAGTTGCCTTGTTAAAATTTGATTAGTATGAATTTCTAACACTGTAGGGTTGCCAAGTTGTTTTCGAGCCCCAGCAGGGGACTCGTGTCCAGCGTCTGGAGAGAGAGCACGCGCCGCACACACATCACCCTAGGGCTGCCAAGTTCCCCCGGGGGGCGGATTCCCCCCCGCTTTAGAGGCCCGATTTCCGCCGCCGCGGAATTGGGGCCCGGGGGAAAACCCACCCCGGCGTTCACGTCACACGGAGGTGACGTGATGACACCGGGCACGCTGGGGGCGGGGCCACAGCCATCTGAGGGGAAAACTCTGT